CTCCCCAAATTTTTCAGACTCTGGAAAAAACGTGCCCACCATAGCATTCTCCTCCATGGGGATATTTTCCCAAGTTGCCATCAGTGAAATAATTAGCAAGTAAGCCACCACCTTGTTCCAGAGACTATCTGTGCTCCAGCAGGAGGGTATTCTCTTACCTACTGGGCAGTGGGTGAACCATCCCAAATCCACAACTCACCACCTATTTTCGGTGCCTATTCCTGGTACTTCTTGTGTCTGTCCAGGTTCACTAAGGAGCAGGTGTGACAACAGAATTAAACAGGCAAGGATTTTATCAGGGGAAATGGGCAGGGAGCTGGGACAGGTTGAGAGAGCCATCAGACTGTGAATCAAGTCTGACCTCAAGTGAAGGAGAGAGGTAAGGGAATGTATGGAAGTATCCCATACTACCATGCAGTCCAACAAAGGGTCAGCAAGGCTGTCAGGCTGTCCTTGAGCCAAAGATTATCACCAGAGGACTCCCATTGTCACCCAGGGACAGGCCTGCTTTGGTATTCCTGCCATGGTCGGTTGCTGGGTGCAGCCCATGGGTAACATGGCTTTGGTGCCAATGCTTTGATGGATTACAGAGTGCAGAAGTTGGGCCCTTGGTCAAATAAGCTCCCTACAGTTGGAAGTCTCTCAGGTGCATTCTCATGGTCACTACGGGATTAACTCACTTTTCCTTAGGAGCACCCTGTAAGATAGTACTCTGGATATTATCTTCTTAGAAATGAGCAAACTGAGGCATAAAGAGTTTTGGACACTTGTCCAAGGCCACATAGATGGGAAGCAGAAAAGCCAAGATTGTTCCTAGAACTAAATTCAAAATTTCACTTTCAGTCCCTATTCTTCCACCTCCTTCCTGCTGCCCATATTGATGGCTGTTTTCCCTGAAACCCCTTGGTGGCACCTCACCATTGTACCTGTGTGCACAGGAAAAGCACCTGTGTCCCTAATGACAGTGCTCTTTCCTGCACCCTATTTTCTGCCTTCTGATTTCCCCAGAGATACTAACCGCCAGGTTCTGGAGGATACTTTATTCCAGAATCCTTATAACACCTGGGTGTGGATGGCCTCTGCACAGGGGCTACCTCTTAGGCAACAGAAAAGAGTGGGTTATGCCCTGAATTAGTTATCTTTTGCTGTGTAACAATTTTATCACAAATGTGGCAGCTTAAAATAACACTCATGTGGCAAGGCATGGTGGCTTATGCCTGTAATCTCAGCACTTGAGGGCCAAGGTGGGCGGATCACAAGATCAAGAGATCGAGACCATCCTGGCAAATATGGTGAAATTTTTGTATTTGTAAAAATACAAAAATTAGCTGGGCCTGGTGGTGTGAGCCTGTAATCCCAGCTACTCGGGAGGCTGAGGCAGGGGAATCGCTTGAACCCAGGAGGTGGAGGTTGCAGTGAGCCGAGATCGTGACACTGAACTCCAGCCTGGGTGACAGAGTGAGACTGTGTCTAAAAAAAAAACCAAAAACAAAACAACACCCACACATTTATTATCTCAATGTTTCTATAGGTTTCTATTCCTTTCCCTCATTGAGAGTGACTAGGGACAGCTTAGCTAGGTACTCTTTTTCAGAGTCTCACAGGCTATAATCAAGGTGTTGGCTGTGCCTTCAGTCGCATCTGAGGTTCGACAGGTGAAGGATCTGCTTCTGAGTTAATGTGATTGTTGGCAGCATTCTGTTCCTTTCAGGCTAGTGGGCTGAGGGCTTTCTTGCTGGTTGTTGGTTGGAGGCTGCCCTTAGTTCCTTGCTGCATGGACCCCTCTTCAGGGCAGCTCACACCATGACAGCTTAGATCTTCAAGGCCAGCCAGAGAGTCTCCTAGCAAGATGGGTTACAGTTTAATGCAATCATATGCATCCTAAAACCTTTGCTTCATTCTATTGGCTAGGAGCATGTCAGGTCCTGCCCACACAAGGGCAGGGACTTCATGAGGTGGGGATTATGGGGGGCACCCTAGAGTTTGTCTGCCACACGTTCCTTTTGGTCAGCATCTCTAATGAGAACAACTCCTTGAACCATCCCAAAGTTTGGCTCTCCATGAAGTGGAAGTCCGTGTGAAGACAGCTGGGTTGAGGATTGACCCATGGTGATTTCTCCAATCCTCCTTTTCTCCTCTGGCTCAAAAATTCTTTTCCCTCATTGAGAGTAACTCAAACATACTAGATACTAAGAATGTGCTCATTACTCCAGCACATCACACTTTACAATGAACTCTAGTGGACACAGCTAAGATCCTCTCCACATCCTGTTACACATATTTAAGCATGGGAATGAGGGATTGATCAGACTTTACAATAAATTTTATTTATTTATTTATTTATTGAGATGGAGTCTTGCTCTGTTGCTCAGGCTGGAGTACAGTGGCGTGATCTCAGCTTACTGTAGCCTCCACCTCCCGGGTTCAAGTGATTCTCCTGCCTCAGCCTCCCAAGTAGCTGGGACTACAGGTGCATGCCACTGTACCTGGCTAATTTTTGTATTTTTAGTATAGACAGGGTTTTGCCATGTTGGCCAGGCTGGTCTGGAACTCCTGACCTCAGGTGATCTGCCCGCCTTGGCTTCCCAAAGTGCTGGAATTACAGGTGTTAGCCACTGCCCCTGGCCAACAATAACTTTAAAAAATAGCTTTATTGAGTTATAATTAACCCACTTAAAGAGTATAATTTGGCCAGACATGGCCAAGGGTTCCATTCGCTCTACCTTCTCATCAACGTTTGTTATTGTCTATCTTATTTGTTGTAGCCATCCTAATGGTGTGAAGTGGTTTTGATTTGCATTTCCCCAGTGGCTAATGATATTGAGTGCTTTTTCATGTGCTTATTGACCACTGTGTATCTTCTTTGGAAACATGTCTATTCAGATCCTTCTCTCTCTCTGAGAGGTCTCTGAGAGGTCTCTGAGACCAAACTTGGTTTTATTGCTTTAAGAAACCTATTATTTCTCATTTATCACCATCTAAGCTTTCTGTCTTCTTTAAAGTTGAACTCCCTTCGTCCCTGCTTCATTTTTCTCTCATAGCACTTTTCTCTATCTACCCTACTACTGTACATACTGATTTTAACAGCTGTCTTAGCCTGCTAGAATGTTAACTCCAAGAGGACAAGAATTTTTGTCTCTTTTATTCACTGCTGTTTTCTCAGCATTTATAGTAGCACTTGGCACATAGCAGAGAACCATTAGATATTTGTAGAAAGAATGAATACATCCTTCTGGAAGCAACAAGAATGAAAATTAAATGACCTTTTCTCAATTTAAAATTGGGTTTACAATAACAATATATCACAAAAGAATCTGTGTTCACTGAAGAAAGCTTAGAAAGTATGCATAGGCGTAATAAAATTATAGATACCATTTAGCAAGCATACATTGCACACACTGTGCTAAATTCCTTCTGTGCTTGCCCTAAGTCACACAGGTAAATATAATAGTAGCCAATGTTTATTGAGCTCCTGTTAGGGACCAGGCCCTCTTCTATGTATTATCTCATTAATTCCTCCCAACAGCCTGTCTAAAGAGGCTGCTACTTTTATCATACTCATCTTTCAGTAAAGAAACAGAGGCACGCCGAGATGCTAAGTAACTTGCTCACATGCATGCATGCACACAGCTTGCTGGTAGCAGAGCCAGGGCAGAACCATTGCACTATATTGTCTCTTGTTCTCTCTCTCTTTCTCTCTCTCTCTCTGAGACAGGGTCTCCCTCTGTTGTCCAGGCTGGAGTGCAGTGGCACCATCACTTGAGGCTCACTGCAGCCTTGATATCCCGGGCTCAAGTGATGCTCCCACCTCACTCTCCTGAGCTGGGACTACAGGCTGCGCTGCCATGCCCCACTAAGTTTTGTATTGTTAGTAGAGACAGGGTCTCGCCACATTATTCAGGCTGGTCTCACACTCCTGAACTCAAGCAATCCTCCCGCTTTGGCTTCCCAAAGTGCTGGGATTACAGGCATGAGTCACTTCACCAGGCTCTTGTTCTTTTTATGCAAAATAATTAAGTACCTTCTTTGAGGATGACTGGTTTCTTAATACAAAATAGCAGAAACTTCCCCGAGAGGTCTCTTAAGACACAGGTTGTTTAACTTCTACTACTCTATTTCTTTTCTTGTTTCATTTTTTCCCTTTCATAAGCTTTGGGGAGCATAGTAACCAATCTTTTCATACTCATTCATGTCACTGCAAAATTACTTTGAAGATGGTAAAAATGACGTTCTATTTGTCTACAGGTCCAAGAATCTTTTGGTGTAGGGCAGGGAATAATACCTCCTACCCGTGGGAGGCAGAACAGAGTTTTGCTGTGGTTCTAAACTTCCGGAGCTTCACAGACCTGGCTTTAATTGCCTTTGCAATTTGTCATCCCTGCGACTTTGGCCAAATGACCACCTCTGTGCTCACCTCACCGTACCTGGCACAGAGTCAAGGATCTGGGAGCAGGGAGACAGGATTTGGGCACATTCCCCAGCTTTGCACCTGTGTGGTCTTGGACAAGTCCCTTACCTCGTTGGGCCTAACTTTGCGCAGCTGTAAAATGGGTGATACCCCAGGATTTCTGAGGTTTCTTCTGGCTCTGACGTTTTGGGCGCTGCGCCTACCTCCCAGCTGTGAAGAATGGGCACTAAGGCGATGTCTCGCTTACAAAATCATTTTTGTTGAAAACGATAAATCCCAGGTACAGATTTAGGGGGGAAATTGGGTGAGGCCTGGACGGCCGTGTGGAGAATGAGCTGCGCGGCAATTTCTAGGCAGGGGATGGGCGTGGCGGGCGGCGGGCCGGGTGTGCTGGCAGCGCAGCATCCCTGCGGGAGGAGAGGGCGTCTGTCGACAAGCGCGGAGGCAGAGGCCGCGGAGGACCGCAGATGCAGCGGCTGCGCACTGGCAAGACCAGACGGCCTATTTGCGTGTCTCCGCCCCTGCGACGAGCTGATTGGGAGGCTGTTCTGGCGCCGCGCGCCGATTGGCTGAGCAGCCCGCCGCTCAGGCCCCGGAGCGGACGGTTCCTACTGCGGGTGGGCACCGGCTCCGCTCCCGCGTCTGCCCGCGCTCCAGCTGCGCCCGGCCCGGCCCCAGCCCGGCTCGGCGCGGCCCCGGCCTCTGAGCGAAGGCGCCGCAGCCGGTGGGCTGTTCCCAGGGCCATGAGGAAGCGGCGGCAGCCACTGCGGCCCGCGTCAAGGTGACCGGCCGGGACTGCGGCGGCGGGGAGAGAGTCGGTGAGAGGCGCGGCCGGCGGGGCGGGGCGGGACGGGGCGGGTCCGGCCCGGCCCTAAGGCCGGGCCTGAGGGAGCTGCAGGTGCGGGGGGCGGAACCCCGAGGGCCGCCGGACCCGGGGAGGGGCCTCGGTGCGGGAGGCGGGGCGGGGCCGTGCCTGCGTGTGCCTGCCCGGCGCCGGGGCCTGGCCCGGGTCCGTGGGTTCTGGAGTCTGGGGCCGGGGGCGCGCCGGTCCTCGGGAGCGTGAAGGACTGCGGGAGAAGAGGCGTGGGGCGCGGGGGGCGGGGCCGGGGAGGCGGTTGGGCGGGGCACCGCGGCTGCAAGGTGCGGGGGGCGGGGCCGGCGGGGCTGCCGTGGGCGGGGCTGCGGGGTGCGGCCGGCGCGCGCGGCCCGTGGAAAGCACAGGTGCGGGGGGCGGGGCCTGGGGACCTGCAGCGGCGGGGGGCGGGACTCAGGCGGCTGCGGGGCGGAAGCAGGGCCCCTGGTGAGGAGCGGGCGAGGGTGGGTGGTCGCCGGAGAAGGGAAGGCCGCCCTCTCCGCTGCCCAGTGGGGCTTGGGTGGGAGCGAGGGCTTTGGGCTCCCTGCAGATTCTGGGGGCATCCGCGGCTGTCGCTGGAAGGGCCGTTCGGGCCTGCCTGTGCTTCTGCTGACTTGGGCTTGGAGCTCAGCTGCGCTGGTTACAGGCAGGCTGCCTCCCCTATGCCACGCCGCTCCCTAAGTGGGGCGCGCTGTTTTTCGCACCTCAGGGGCTTTCCTGTTGCTGTTGAAGGGACATGCCTGGATGCGGGGAGGGGGCAGGGGCCTGGCTGTCATTGGTGATAGGCTGTTGAAAAATGTTTGTGCTTGAGGGGTGTTGTGAGGCTTGGAGGGGTCCTGGCTTGCTGGCTCCTGGTATCAGAAGCTGCTGTAGGTCTCAGCAGTGCGTCTCAAAAAGACTGAAATGGCAGCCTGGTAAGTGGGGAGAGCAGGGATGAGAATTCAGAAGCTTTTGACTATGCCACCTGGGAGAATTTTTCACTCTGTTTCCTCCTTTGCAAAATGAGCATCTTGGTACCTGCCTGTGTGCCTCCCAGGAGCCTGGTGGAGGATAGGATGAAACAGTGCCTACTGAGCAAATCGCTGGGTAAAGTTATGAGTTTCCCCTTTCTTTTGCCGACGGGCAGGTTGGATTCAGGGACTGGAGAGTCTAAAGAAGAGAGGGTTTGTCAAGAGGTGAGACGGGACCACTTTCTTTTCGCAGTTTGGGATGAGGTTTTCTTGGGAGTTCCCAAAAGACTCAGCTGTGTCTTGGATCGTGACTGCTTCTTCCTGTGAGGCCTCTGAGGGAGCTGCTGCAACGTGGCAGTGGCAAGTGGAAGCAGAAGCAGAACATTTGTTTGTTGACCTTTAGACCCCAACCCTGTTGAGGACTCTGAGCTGGAGCATACGGCTCAGGCCTGAGGCTGTGGAAGTCCCTCTTCCCGCATCCAAGTACAGACCCCAATTTCACCACATTCCAAGAAGGCTGGTTGCGTTGGCTCACGCTTGTAATCCCAGCACTCTGGGAGGCCGAGGTGGGTGGATCATTTGAGGTCAGGAGTCTGAGACCAGCCTGGCCAACATGGTGAAACCCCGTCTCTACTAAAAAATACAGAAATTAGCCGGGTGTGATGGTACCTGCCTGTAATCTCAGCTGCTCAGGAAGCTGAGTCAGGAGAATTGCTTGAACCTGGGAGGGGGGGGTTTCAGTGAGCCGAGATCATGCCACTGCACTCCACCCTGGGCAGTAGAGTGAGACTCCTCCATCTCAAAACACACACAAAAAACTCGAAGACTCCCAAAAGAAGGTAATGCCAGGACTCGACTGGAGTAGGGAGAAAGCAGGAGGACCGGGCTGTGTCTGAATTTCGGAAGAGCGCTCTGTACCCATATATGTGACCTTTCAAAGCCCAGTGCTTCTGCTCACTGGCAGTTGACCAGTCCAAACTATAATGCCTCCTGCCTTTGTTGCATAGACAGAAGAGAAGGTAGGTGGAGGTTTCTCTACTAACTTGCTTTCCCCCCCCCCCCCACCATAGAAGGTGTGGGACTTTTGGGGGCCAGATATCATGGTGCTGGCCTCCCTCATTACCACTGGTTGGTACAGTGGTGACCCAGTGGCATTGAGGGGATTAGGTCCTTACTGGGGCCTGTGCTTGTGTGGCAGGCACCAGAGGATCTAGAAGCAGCAGGTGAGAGTTCTCCCACTCTGTCTTGGCAGAAACAGTGTTAATGGCTCTCAGAGACTGCTGCTCTCTGAGTGACCATCATGCTCTTTGGGTTAGAAGGAAAGCCCAAACTTGGTGGCAAAGAAGAGCTAGAACATGCGTTGAATAATGAGGGAATTGGCAACATTTAGGGTTGAGAGAAAGACTTCATTAATGAAAAATACTGCATCTGAGGCTCTCTGATGTGACCCACCTCTTGAAATTGATTTTCCTTTTCAGTATGAAGGGTAAGAGCTCTGACTTGGAAGTCAGTCAGGTCTGTTTGAAACTGCAGGCTGTCACCTCCTGCTGAGTGAACCAGCACTACTTTCTTAGCTTCACAGAGCTTTGGTTTCTTTATTTGTAAAGCAAGGATAACCATGCCCATCTTGTGAGGTGGTTATGAAGAATAAATGAGACAGGAGTGGGTAAGGCACCTGATCCACTTGGCCCTCATTGTTAGGGTCCTGTTCTGTCTCTCACTGCCTGCCCATCTTTCAACACAAGCCACTCAGAAAAGCATGTAACATGCAAGGAGAGCAGGACAGGGAATTCTGAGGCCTCTACTTCTTATATAACCTTGAACAAATCCCTTCCTCTCTCCAGACCTTGGTTTTCTTAGCTGAGTGAGGAGGGTGTTAGACTATGTGATCATCAAGAGTCCTTCTAGCTCTAGTCTTCTGGTTAGTGTGCTGTCATATTTTCTTCAGAGGCAGGAGGGAGGAAACTAATGACCTGTTGTTCAGTTCTTCTCTTAAAAATATCTGTCTAGCACCTTGCCTGGCATGCAGTAGGTGCTCACTGCATGCTTGTTGAAAGAACAGATGAAGGACTTTAACTAGAAAGAAGGTGTGGCAAGTTGTACCTGCTGCTTTTATGCATATGGTATCTATACCTTTAACATGCATTTTATTTATTGCACAAAAATATTGTAACATTAGTAAAATTAGTGAACCTCAACATAAAAGACAAAAGTTGCTGCATGGTTCCATTTCATCACACATTAAGTTCATTGAGTTTTTGTTCATAAACATACATAATTCTTCATGGTCGCAATCGTATGTATGTAAGCATTTGGGAAAGGCCCAGTAATAAATGGTTTCTTTAAATATAGTTTAAAACCTTTTTTTTTTTTTTTTTTAAGGACAGGGTCTCTCTCTGTCACCCAGACTGGAGTGCGGTAGCGCAATCATGGCTCACTGCAACCTTGACCTCCCAGGCTCAAATGATCCTCCCATCTTAACCTCCCAAGTACTGTGCCACAGCATCTGGCTAATTTTTATTTTTATTTTTTTTTGTAGAGATAGGAGTCTCGCTATATTGCCCAGGCTGGTCTCCAACTCTTGGGCTCAAGTGATCCTCCCAGAGTGCTGGGATTACAGGCATGAGCCACCACATCCGGCAAATATAGTTTTCGTTTTATATTTTGAGGAAGTAAAAAAGTCACACATGGATTTTTTTAAGGAAAGTAGGGGAATAAATTATAAAGTCAGTGTGTTTCTTGCCTCAAGTTGATAGTTCCTAGTCCTTTTCCCTAGAGGCAACCACTGTTACCAGTTTCTTGTTTATTATATATTCTTTCTCTTACACAAAGAATAGCATTCTGTACATACTCATTGCTGCTTTATGTATTCACTTGATTTACTTTGGAAATTGTTCTAACATTGGAAAATATGTCAGTTGGTATGTACCGTTCCTTTTTTTTTTTTTTTTTGGCAGCGTCTTGCTCTGTCTCCAGGCTGGAGTGCAGTGGTACGATCTTGGCTCACTGTAGCCCCTGCTTCTTGGGTTCAAGCAATTCTCCTGCCTCAGTCTCCTGAAGTAGCTGGGACTACAGGCCTGCGCCACCACGCCCAGCTAATTTTTGTATTTTAGTAGAGATGGGATTTCACCATGTTGGCCAGGATGGTCTTGATCTCTTGATCAGACCTTGTGATCCGCCCGCCTTGGTCTCCCAAAGTGCTGGGATTACAGGCAAGAGCCACCATGTCCGGCCACAGTTCCTTCTTAATAAATGTTTTTGACTGATAGAAGCACAATTTTGTACCTCCAGTCTTCACTCACCAATGATGTTTACTCAGTATTGGTTAGCAGTCATTATTTAGAAGACTAACAAGAGACATCCTTTGTCCTCCTCTAGGAAAAAATGTGGCCTTGGTCCCAGTGAACAGTAGATTAAAGGGCAATCCATGTATTGGATGCAAGGCAGAGAACAGAAAGAGAAAGGAAAAGGAATTTGTTTACTGGTAACTGAGAACTGATTTTCCATTCAGGTTGTGATTCAAAGTCCAGCTCTGTCACTTACTGGCTGTGTGACTTGGAACAATTTACCTAATCTCTCTGCATCTTAGTTTCCATATCTGTAAAATAGATAATGGTAATAGGATCTGTCTTCAGGGATTTTTGTGCAGAGGAAGTGAGATCATGCAATGCAAAGTACATATAGCAATAGCAGGTCATAGTAAGTGCTTAAGAAGGATGAGCTGCTATGTTATTAATGATCTGAAATAGACTCTATTTTTTGTGAGTAGATATTTACTGGACATTTAAGGGGGATCCATGGAGAATGCCTAAAGTCCTTGCCTTTGAGGTGCTCACATGCTCTGTATGGAGATTGGCACACAAGTCATGGATTACTGAACAGTATAGTGGGCCAAGTGGTGGGAGGTGAGCAGTGTGTGAGGTCACAGAGGCAGGGAACAATGACTTCTCTCTGGGGTGATTTGGGAATTGTCTCCTCAGCTCAAATTTTCCCTCCTTTGTGAAACCGACTTAAT